AAACACTGGTAACTTTGATGAGAGACATCAGGCCCCATTCTGCCTAAGTCTTCACTTTCTATTGCCAGTGGACTTGTTAGAGCTGATAATTCCAATACAATATTTATAACTTATTCATGATTTATTTTAAACCTCTTTCACAGCCTGATGCACATGAGGCAATTTAAATCGCCAAAACTCTGTTTTGCAACTAACACTTCATTACACTGAATGGAAAAGTTCACACATCTGTTGGTGCTGTATTGTTTCAGGCTGGCTGCAGAGCAAACAATCCAGCGAGGCACAGATTTGCCGTAGGAAGGCTGTCTCCAAACGAGAGGACAGAAACTTTCCTTTTCGGACAAAGGCAAGCGAGAAAAGCAGCCTCGGCCCAGGGCATCCAAGGACCGACACAGCCCCTCTCCCCAAGGATGCTAAGGGAGATTCTTCAAGTTCAGCAGAGCAATGGGGTGTCACTAGAAGTCTTGACAAAAGGGGGGGTCTGTGCAAGCCCTTTTCATTCCAAGGAGATCCCGGCCTGTGTTATTAAACCCTGTTAATTCTGATGCCATAAAACCAGAATGGTGAAGCTAACCTCATGCAATTTTCCTTATTTAAATATAATCTTATAATTCTAATTTCAGAGTCTCAGCTGATTTAAAAATTGGAGATTAAAAATCTGCATTCTAAACTCACCATATAAATTCTGCTGAAATTACTACAGACATATATATATGGACATATGTAATGAGCATAGGTTACGCAAATATATTCTGCAATGTATATTTATAAAAAAGTGAAGTCAGGTACCATGCAATTGACCTTATTTAGATCACCAGTTCTTTATGGTAAGCATCAGTTTTGTGTCCTGGCCTGGCATGGTGGGGTTCCAGGATGCTCCTAGGACTTCTAGCCAAGTGATTAATGGAAGCGGTAATAAAACATCCATAGCTTTCACCAATGCACATTAAAAATCCTAACTGTAAAACAAGAAACAAATCCAGCTGAGTTAAATATTATGCTAGTTTCTACTCTCCATCCCCACTCCACACCACAGTTGGTTTTCATCCGCTTTTGTTTGTTCTCTCTCCTGTCATTAAACCGTTTGAAAAAATAATGAATGTTTCTGGTTTTTTTTAAGGCATGGTCCAAACTCGACTGAATTTAGGAATTTGTCTCTGCTGAGAAGGCACATGGCTCTTTACACGATCCAAAGCTCCTGGGTATGGAATTATTTTCTGATATACTAAAGCACTCCTGCTTATTTCAAGCCTTTCACTCACCCGTGCTCTAACTGTCTGGATCACCACTCCTGGCTACGTCACATCTTCCTTTCCCCCCACCTTGCTTTGTGAGCTTACTTGGGATTCAGGCAGAGCACGGTATCAGTGTGATATGGAAGTTACCGAGAGACCCTTAGCAGGCGGCTGGCTTGAGAACAATTATCTGACAGAATTGTTTAGCAGTGCAGCCCAATCTATGTTATGACCCTTTTTCTAAATGTAGATATAATGGCACATTAAAGTAACGTTACATCTCATAATGCCTGCTGGGTGAGGGTTCAGAGAGGTTCCCCTTGTTTCCCTTCGGCACAGCAGGTCCTTTGTTACTGCCGCTCCTCCAGATCCTGTGATGGACGGGAGTCCCGCGCTCCTCCAACACTAAAACGGGGCTGCCAAGATAATTTACGGGCCCTGTGGCCAACAAAAAGTCTCAGGCCTCCTTGGGTTATCTCGAAGTCCTATTTTTCTCCGCCCATTGTGCCAGATTTTACAGATGCCAGGAAAGGTTTCGACAACACAAACCTCCTTCCGCGCGCCGCTTTTAAACAACAGTTTTCTCCCGGCTTCGCCTGTGTCTGCGGCAGCATTTCTAGACAGAAAGCAGAAAAGCAGAGAGTAAACACAGGACCGGGAGGCGGGAGAGAAGAGAGGAGCAAGGGTCAGGAGGGGAGACGGAGGCCGGGGTGAGGTGCCCAGGCGTGGGGCTGGCCGGCGGGACCAGCGTAGCCTGGCTGGGGCGCGGGAGGAAGGGCTTCTCCCGGCTCTCTTGGCACCTTCCCTTTTTGCACTAGAAATTCAGGCTCGGCGTAAGCAGTTTTGCTGGCACCGCAGCTCACGGCAGCCTTTTCCTGCGGCGGTGACAGCGCAGGGTGCTCGTCGCTGCCCAAGGCCGGGCAGCAAAAATCCACAGCTGCCTTCGCACCGGCTCCTTCCAGGCCCTGAGCGCCGGGAAACCCAGGCGCGGGCACGGTTTCTGCAGAGGACGCCGAGCTGGGGCTCGGGGACCCCGCAACCCCCTTCGCTCCAGGGCAACCGATGAGACACGGGCTGTAACCGG